CTTTGGTTTGGAGCACATCATGAGGGAGATCGGTCAGATCTATGAATCATTTTCATCTGTGAAGAAGAAGAACAAGAAAGACCTGAAAGACTTCTCTTCTCTCCCTAGTTTTGCAGCACAGATGATGATCTCTGGATTTCCACTGGAGCTGATGGATGGAGATGCTGCTCATGTTCCTGTGATCTGGATCTCTGCTGTTCTAGATCAACTCATCAAGAAACTGGGAGACCAGAGTGTCTTTGTGCTGTCAGTTTTAGGGATCCAGAGCTCTGGGAAATCCACCATGCTTAATGCTATGTTTGGACTTCAGTTTGCGGTCAGTGCTGGCCGGTGCACCAGAGGAGCTTTCATGCAGCTGATCAGAGTCTCAGACGAGATGAAAACACTGATGCAATTTGACTATTTTCTGGTTGTTGATACCGAGGGACTTCGTGCTCTAGAACTGGCTGGAAGATCAACAAGACATCATGACAATGAACTGGCCACATTTGTTGTTGGTCTTGGAAAGCTGACACTGATCAACATCTTTGGTGAAAACCCAGCTGAGATGCAGGACATTCTTCAGATTGTTGTTCAGGCTTTCCTTAGAATGAAGAAGGTCAGACTGAATCCCAGCTGTGTGTTTGTGCATCAGAACGTTTCAGACCTCACAGCTGGAGAGAAGAACATGGAGGGAAGGAGACGACTGCAGGAGACACTGGATGAGATGACAAAACTCGCTGCTAAAGAGGAAGAATGTGCTGCAGAATGTTTCAGTGATGTGATTAGATTTGATGTTCAGAAAGATGTGAAGTATTTTGCTCAGCTCTGGGAGGGCAGCCCACCCATGGCACCACCAAACCCAAACTACTGTGAGAACATTCAAGAACTGAAGGAAACTATTGTATCCCATGCTTCAAGATCACGTGGAATGAGACTGAAAGACTTAAAAGATCGTATTAAAGATCTCTGGGAGGCTTTACTGAATGAGCGATTCGTCTTCAGCTTCAGAAATTCTCTGGAGATTTCAGCCTACAGGAAACTGGAGACCGAATACAGCAAGTGGTCCTGGAGTCTTCGCAGTGCCATGATGGAAACTGAGAACAAACTACACAACAAAATAGAAAATGAAGCAATTCATGAGGTCGAGGAAACTGATATTCAAAAAGAACTAAAGGAGACAAGTGAAGAAGTGAAAAAATCAATGTC